CGATGAGCTGAAGTACACAAACCAAGTTTTTGTCTGTCTCTGGAGCATCCAGGGGTCCGTTTCACGAAGCAGGTTTACCGAAAACTCAGTTGACAGGGCATGAGATTACTTGTTTTTAGTTTGTTTAATATGAGCGAGATATGGATCATTTATTTTTATTTAGTTATATTTACGGTACATGAAGAACTACTGAAATTATTTTTAAATTACACATGAATAGATTAATTAATTCTGCGGGGGGAAAGGAATTACTTTGGGGTTAGGATTAGGATTCACTCGATGATAACAACCTAATGAGTCTACTGGCAGAACCTGAAGGGACTGATGGGACTGATAGCCACTAATAACAACCATTTATTGGGATGATAACATCCGAAGCATGGCTGCATAAGCCACTGAGTATTTACTGTGTAAAAGAAGACTGAATCAACATGAGGAGGCACACCATGAATGCACAGGTTCTATATATTAGAACAATGTTTTTAAAATTATTTTCCACCTGCTGCCAGAAGATTTCACCTACATAGATACATTGATCCACTACCATTTAAGGAAATAATCCTGTAATATTATTGCAGTCACAACATGCTATGACAAGCAGTTTTGATCTGTATATGAATATGAATAAGTGGCCGTTTCAAGAATATGTATTCCAGATATCTGAACAAACATTTCTTCTTGGTCTAACTGACCATTTCAAACAAAATGACATTCTCCACATCTAGAATATACATTCTGAATGTCTAGTGATTAATTTCAGATCTCCATATTCCTAATATTACTGGTCATGGTTTTTATTATTTTAACGATGAAAAAAATGTATTTCAGATATCATAAATACATTTTCAGTCAAGTTGATAAATGTCAGAATGGCCACTTAAAATGTGTAAACATTTCTAGATATATAAAATGTAATTCTTACTAGTATAAGTCTGTGTTTTTTACATTCTAAAATTCAGTTTCTGCTACAAAAATGTACTTTAGAAAATGTTTTTTTACAGTTCCTTGTAGGAGTATGATTTTGATGAGTAAGAATCTTATTTAGGTGATCTACAAATGGAACAACAGAGAGGAGAGTGCTTTTAATAATCTTAAAATCAGCCTGCCATTGTCAACTTCATATAAAAGTACACATTAACTCAAGCAACAATCTTTTCCTGTGCCGTCTTCCTCTCGTTTGCAGCTATAGCAGACTTTCTATGTCTTTTAAACATATTCTCCCTTTTTTATAATTTTTTTGCTTGCATTTCTGCATTAAAATCTCTTGTTCCAGTGGGGTTAAATTGGCACTTGCTGTTGCCTGTTTTCATGATGACTCGTCGAATCGTGGCTCCACTGATAATGGCTTTTCATACTTGTTTCGGACGTGCTAAACTCTGAGTGGTTCTACTTGGAGTTGACTGAACTAATTCATAGCAGCCATTGTGAAACCGAAAACTCTGAGATCTCCACATTAGACTAGATCAATTTAGAGTTTGTTTAACTTTCTTCATTAAATGGACTCCAGATGTCGACTCCATCAGCCACTAACCTTAGGCAAACTGTAAGGGGTTCAGCAGGGGGCCTAGCATGGGGCCCTAAATGTCCTTCATGTGGCTCTACACCAGTATTTTAAATGACTTTATCACTACAGATATCTGGGTGACAAGCCTTTAGCGATTTGATCCAGAAATAGATTTTTTCTTGGGGGACTAGGACCTGTGCAAGATCTGTGTGAAGATGGGGACCAGCTGGTTTTCCTGGTCTTCTGCTTCTGCAAGAGCTGGCACACGTCATCTTCACAATTCATGAGTACAGGTGAGGCGTCTAAGGGCAGAGGTGAGAGCCTGGCATTTGAGGTAGTTCGCGGGTTGAGGGGTCACTGTTTTAGGATGGTGAGGGAGCGAGGTAGTGGTGTGTCTAAGGTTTTTTTTTAATCCTACAATAGAAACCATTAAGCCCATCATCTAGTTTTTAAGTTCTTATAGAGTCAGGGGATGGCCTCCTGCACTTTGTGTCTCCATGCCGTTCCCAACTAACACAAGTCACTGTCACGTCTTTGCAGCTGTCACCTGTTTTGTCAGTATATTCCTAGTCTGGTTGCGCAGCACTACTCTTCTGAGGCCTGCTCTGTAGTCTGAGGAAGCTGCATGAGTTTAGCTGTGAACCTGGGTTTTGGTTGTTTTATGTGCATTAGGTTGTGATTTGTAAACACCCATCCTCTCAAAAAGGGATGTAGGATGTCACCATATAGATAAGTTTATCCAGGTTAGTGACCTCAGCCTCAAATGCACAACAGTCATTAGTCAAAGTAGGCTGTAACTCAAGCTTTGACTCATTGGTCAATCTTTTCAGAATTTGTGCAATGGACTAAGCAAATTTTAGGTTTTTTTCTTTTTTCTTAAGTAAATATTTAAAGTAGACAGGAAACTTTTCAATTACATTTTTTTGTAAGATATTATTGATAATAATTACCAATAAGGGTGAGTGGTGACCTAGTGGTTAGAGCATTGCGCTTATGCTCTGAGAAGATTGCAAGTACCCTGTTCGATCCCCACAGCCTCTACTCTGGGTTCCTGAGCAAAACCCTTAACCCCATACTGCTCCCCGGGCACCACACAATGGCAGTCCATTGCTCCCCAAGGGGATGGGTAAAATGAAGAGAGTGAATTTCCCCATTATGGGACAACAAAGGGATTTACAGATTAATACTTAAAAACTTTTAAAATACTGATTTAAACAACAAAAACTATTAGAATAAATATTAGTAATTAGTTTTGCTTAAGTTTAACCCTAATTGAATAATCTGTCAGCTAATCTGACATACCCAGTGTAATGCTGGGTATGTCAGACCAATTATTGCCTCCTGCTCCATGTTTTCCATATAAATAACTGGCTCATAGGCTTTATTCACTGACAAACCTAGAAAATAAACACCATAGATATTTAATTTTAGTGAATCTAATGTATTTATATTTTTTTCCCTTTTTGCATCTGAAATATTTTTGTATCATAGGGCCAAATGCACATACTCTGGTGGTGCATTCGGTGGTGTAGAGCAATAGCTAAGTGTTAACCAGCAGTAAAATGGGTCTGGATAGATTTAAAGTTACTGGATAATGGCTCATGAGGTATGCGTTTAGCACAACTAGGCTGTATTTTGTACACAGAGCTTTAATGGAGACCCTGAGGAACCTTGAGTTGCCTGCTGGTGGTAGTTACAAATTAGACAAAATGTAAAAAAAAACAAAAACAAAAGGCTTTAAAACAAAGTGTATCAAATGGTGAATATAATAGCAGTGTTTACTATTAGGCAAAGATTAAAGTAGGTCATATATTATTGTTAATATTTTCATGTAGTGAAAAACATTCTTTTGATCTGACTTCCATCCTCAGAATTTAGGATTACAAAACCATTTTTGAGTTAGGTGTGCTGGTTCAATCTCTAGAATCGCGCCTCACAGAGGAATGCTCAGCAACCTTTTTTAATGTTATAATGAAGTGAATATACTTATTGATAGCTCTATAGTTTACGCATTGTATGCCAATATTATATTCAATCCAAAGGTGGAATGTCAGTCTCCCATTGGTTACAATATCAAAGACACTAAGGGTTTTTGTACAGTGCTATAGGTCAACATGAGAAAGATTAGAAGGGAAAAATGTGGGTTTATTGCACCTGCTACGTATCCAATCTTTTTTTTTTAAGATTTTAACATATAATATCATGTAACCATAGCTACAAAAACAATAAAATAATTATATATATATATATATATAGGATAATTGATCCTCCTGAAACCTACTTCAACTGCCCAAGCAGATGGAATAAGTCGACTTAGCTACATAGCAGTGAAATGACCTCCATTTAGAGGAGGGGCTACCCTCTGGAGATGTTTTGTGAATGTGCCTGGGCCACATCTCGGATTGGTGGGTGCCGTCTGGTGAGTAATGGCTCACAGTAGGCTGTTAGGCTGGCTTGTGGCCAGGATTCTTATAAAACACACCTTTGGCATCACTCCCCTTTAGATCTCTCAAGGATTGGCTCACTGTGGTGGAAAATAAAATGGCCTCCTTACCTTAGTCCCTTCAGATTCTGGTTATCACGACGAAGACTTTCCAACATATAGG